AAAATCGCAGCAGTCTCCCTCACACAGAAGACAGTTTGAGGGAGACTTTTCTGGTGGGACGATTCGGTTGCCGCTTGCATCCCACTTGACCCACTTGCAGCGCACTTGCCCCACTTGCGTGGCACTTGCCCTACCTGGCCCACATGCAGCCCACTTGGTCCACTTGACTGCGCCAGCACACTTGCAATCGGTTAATTTAGCAAGTGTGCCGAGTGTGCCAACACACTTGCAATCGGTTAATGGTTCCCGCCTGCGCCCGCAATGAACTGTCGCATGCCTCTGCCGCTCCGCTCGTTGATGTTGTCGATGATCCAGTTGCGGTAGTTCCCGTCCATGTAGGCCTCGTACACGGTGCCGTTCTTGTACTTGCCCTCTGTGGGAGCACTACTTGCCTTGACGCTCAGTCGTTGGTGAAGCTCAGTGTCCAGGCATCTCCGCGGAGGTGCAGGCACAGATGCCGGCGCCGAAGTTGTGGGTTGAAGCCTTCGCGACGGGCCGCGATCGTCGCGAGTGGGCTCGCGATTGTCCGCAAACACGGTGGTGAGGCGAATCGTCAGCTGGACGGACTCGACAAGAGCTTCAGCACGTATCTCTCCATGAGGTCCACAAGCTTCGATCTTCGTCCGGACAGTGGCGTTGAATGCTCTCAGGGCCTGCTCGGTCTCGTCGATGGTAAGATAGATGTCGGGGTTCGTCGTGGTAGTGGATGAGGTCGCCTCGAATGCCGCCATTCGAGGTTGTCCACACACAGGGGCGACATAGCCAGTCCAAGCACGTCCAGACACTTCCGTTCGTCCCCTTCCAGGACACGCGGTGGTGATGGCATCCAGGCGTGGCTTGGTCGTGATGCCGTTGTGGTGGTTCTTGTGGTCCGTCTCCGCCAACCTCTTCTACAGCAGCTGTCCACAGGAGGTTGAACGTCTTCCAAAGGCGGTCGGTCCTCGCTGTCGACCTCCATGGCGCCAAGCACTTCCCTGAGAAGTTCGTCCTCGATGTCCTCTCGAGTCCCAGCTCGCTGCACCAATTGGTCGGCTGACGGGCGTGCTTCCAAAACTTGTTGTCCAGGAAGATCGGTCCACCTCGGGTGACAACGCTCCAGGCCGTCGAGGCTGCGGGGCTCAAAGGCTCGTCGTCCTCGATGACGATGGCGCCGCACTGCGTTGTAGCCAGTCCCTCGTCCGCCACCATTCCCGTGCCGGAACGCCATGTTCGCCTCCCGGTCGTGGGCCTGGTTCTCCTTGACGCTAAAGTAGACGGTGCGTGGCTTTCCTGAGTTGTGCGAGGAACCCTTGGAGTCTACCCTTCGTGGAGGAATGCCCACTCGATGTTAAAGCCGAGGATGTCGATGTAGCCTTGCCCTTCTTGCCACTGCCTTTGGTATGGGGACAAGTCGGGTCTCCACTCAAGTGACCTCGTGCTCCGCATCGTCTGCAGGTTGTTCGGGCCTTCAGGGCAGCAACCTTGGCACGGTCAAATGAACCAACGCCGTCCTCCACAAAGTAGCCGATGTATACTCGTCGAAGACATCCATCTCCTCCTCGCCGAAGTACGCCTCGCCGTCGCCCTCGTCCGGGTCGTCGTCGGGGAAGTCCTGGCCGCCATCACTGATGTCATCGACGTAGTAGCCTGTAGGCTTCCAAGCTCGCCCTCCATGCCAAGACTTGCCTTGCTGTCCTGGTCGGCGGTGGTGTCCGCCTTTTCCTGACGCACGCTTCTCTCGCTCATGCACCTTGCCGTGTTGAGCGACCAACTCCTCAGCGACGTTGGCAAAAGAGACCTCTCCCTTGGGCGCCGTGCGGATGAGCAGCTGGTGGTCGTGCGAGATCGAGGCACACGCCAGTAGCTGTTCTGCTAACACCATGTCGGGCAACCGCATCTCGGAGGAGCAGTCCAGGAGGCAGCGGTACCAAGTCCGCCTGCGCAACACATAGGAACTCATCGGCTCGCCACTCTGGCGCGACAAGATGCCGGGCACAGCGGAGCCAGCAGCATAGAGCTCGCGTGCCTGCTGGACACGCTTGGGCTTGAGTTGCCCCTCCAGGCATCCTCCTTGGCGAGGTCGTCCAAGCTCAGAGTCTGAGCCAGCCGCAGCCTTGTCCCAGTCAGGCCCTCAACGAGCCTCGGCCCAAGCGGCCCCAACTTCTCCTTCTCCTCCTTGCTCAAGGTCTTCTCCTTGTACAAGCAGGCCTTGACACGGAAAGCATACTCAGCAAGACGTGTCGGTTCTCCACCAAAATGTGGCATGCCAAACTTTCCTTCCGTAGAAGTGCCGGCATCGTCCTCCGCAACGAAGTTGCTGTAGCGAAGGAGCTCCAAGATCGCCGCCATGGCTTGCCTAGGGCAACCATCAAAGTGCGCAGCGGTAGCGCAGAACACCCCAAAGGGCCAGGAGCACACGGCTCCGCTACCAGGTGAAAGCTGTCAGCTCCCACACTGGTGCAGTCGATCCTTTTTTGAGCCAACCGTCGTTGGCACAGATGCTTGCAGGTCAGACCTATAGCATGTTGGAAGGCTACTGCACAAGCCCAGTCCTACACAGATCTACACTGACATGACTGGACGCATCCTTCACTTTCACACCAATTTCCTAAGCCAATATTGACATTTTTAGCGCGGCGATTCAGACCCCTTGATACTCAAACACTCAATGGAGCTCGGCCGGATGCTTTTATGCTCCGTGGTCGAATCTCAGCTCATCTCTTTCCCGCGCATGTCTTGGGCGTCATCCGGGCATCGTCTTTTACACATGCTGCATCAGCCCTTCATTCACCGCTCATGTGTGTCTTGCCACCATTGGCACCTGAGGACACTGTGGGGTCCCGCAACGGATGGCTGCAAACACCGGATGCGGCGGCAGAATAAAATGCGCAAGTACGCAAAGATGTTGCATGCGGATTTGCACCTAACATGTTGCAGGCTGAAACTTGTTGACGAGGACACCGGAAATGCAAAAACTGGCACTACAGCCATGTTGCACTCCCGGTGGCTCATCACAATCCTCAAAAACCCTCGTCAAGCGTCTATCATGGTGATAAGGAGTCTGAGAAGCAGCTGAGCACTGGGCGCGTGCTGATACGCTTTAATTGCGAAGTATCTTTTTGCAAAATGTGGCCGGGCTTGAGCTTAACCGATCAGACCTTGAGTCGCAGTGTTCAAACAGACCCGGGAAAGATGAGAAGGATGTGAAGACACTCGGGGAGAATGTGTAGCCTCCTGTATATTTATACGGGTTCCGACACTTGGTGGAAACTGAACCGCTGCGAATGGCACAGAGCAGAGGGGAAAAGAAAGCACTCAGAAATACTCAGAATGAGAAAGCTTGCATTCATCCTGCGAATTTTCTCCAGCCGTGCAAAAACCCAACCAAGGAAGCGCAGCTTGCGCGATTGTCTGGCTGGCATGCTGTGCAGCGCTGTGTCCTGGATCACCTGACCAGCCTCAGGCTGGCTGTCTGGGCCCACTCTCCACGCGGCCTGGAGCAAGCGCCCAGCTCCACCGCTGGAAAGAGCTGCATCAACAGCCACATCCACCAAGCCACAGCGCTGCACCTGCCCGCATCTAAGTCAATTTCAACTGTCAGTACGAAATCTGTTTTGATGGTGGCCTTTGGTGGCAGGAGCTGGAGTGCAGCAACGGTCTGCGGGGACTCCGAGGAATTTACAGTGGCCTGCAGCGCCTTGGCAGGGGCAGCACAATTTGCCATGGACTTCTCTGGATGGCTGCCAAGGTGCTGGTCCGACGGCTGTCGACAAGCCAACACTGTCACCCAGCTCCAACACAGGCGCATATCCCAAAATCACCTCAAATAGCTTTGAATGGGCAAGCTCACTGGAAGGTCAAACTTGCTGAGGCCTGCAGCGTCAGGCCCCCCGATAGCCACTGGCACTGCGGCAAAGCGCCCATCCTGCAGCCATGCAACAACGCATCAAACAAGTTGTGATCGGTGAAGGAGCGTAAGTTGACACCATCAGACATCACCAAGCGCGTGTAAGGAGCTTCTGCAGAGCCGGCCCAGACAGCACAGACTCACATCCCGATAAAGCAGACGTGCTTGCCTTGCGAGGGCGAATGAAATCAGCCCTTCCCTATCACACGCATGATGAACTTACTGTTGACAACTATGCCAGAACCAAGGGGCAGGTGCATCAAGTTGCAGCAGAAGGGTAGTAAAACCACGCACCAAGTCGGCGGACTCTAGCACCAAAGCATCGCTCTGCAAACTCCTACGAAGGGAGGGCTGCAGATTCAGAAGCTAGGCATGGCATAGCTCCAGAATGTCCTCAGAAAGCACCACACGACTGCTACCGCAAATTTGGTGGCGAGTGGGGCGGCTTCGCCCATCATCGATGCCTGGGAGGTCCGCGAGAAGAATTCATTCAATGGCACCTGTGACTATGCAGCTGAGAGTGCTGCCGCCCAGCAGGGGTGGCCATGTGGGGCAACCGATGCACAGATGGGCCACAACGCTGCTTGAAAAAGACAGACAAAACAGTGCAGAGGAAGAAGCAAAAAGCCGAAAAGGCCTCGCAATCAGATCAATGTAAGCTAGGTTATGTAGCTGCAGAACCACTCACTCCTTCCTGCCCTTGGTACTGTAAGGCCCATGCACATTTGCAGAACGCATGCTGGCAGCAGTCACAAGTCAAAGTGACGGGTCTGGAGTCTGGGCATGGACGTTGATGAATAATTACACATGGTGCACGAAGAGCAGAGGCTTTAGAACAGCATCTACCCTGTNNAAAAAAAAAAAAAAAAAAACTGCCCGCAAGGCATGTATGAAGGCAACACCCAATGACAAAAGAGGATAGACTCCATACTTCCAGAACTTATGAAATGGGCATCAAGTCAGTCTACAACGCTCCATTCTCCTTTTTTGGCGCCTGCACAGCGTCGGTTTAGCCTCAGGCCAGGCTGCACCTTGCCAGACGTGTGCAACTGTGCGACTGAGCACGGCAACAAGTTCACGAAGGCTGAATTGTGCGTGGCCAAGGCCTTAGTTTTTAAGTGGATGGTGTTGAGTTCTTCAGCCTCTTTGCTTGCTTCAGGGATTTGAAGGGCAGAAGCTGCATATAAAATCTTGGAAGGTATATATATGTGTATATATA